ATCATGTCTTGTACGGACCTAGTTCTGAGTTCTGTGTCCCATGGTATATCCCTTAGAAAATTTCCACATAGTAGTCCTGTGGAAACACTGCATTTGTTATGGTTTTCGTTAGCTTTGTTTCTGTCAGTGCTATTATGTCTGCGTTCTCGTCTAGTGCCCATTCTCTAAGTTCACTTGTTTCATTTGTAATCCCATCTATGTTAGTGTACATTTCCTTGAAGCTCACTTTCTTCTGTTCAACCTCTTGTCCCGTTCTTGGTGAGCGTTCTGCTGATAGAGGAAGCTGTTCAATAGGTGTGAAGATCTGTGAGGTAGTTAACAGGGTCTCAGAGGGTTGGTGGGGGATCAAGGGAAGTGGAGACAGATAGAGTATGGGGTAAGGAGGTAGGGGGGACATACAGGATATGGGGTGAGGGGGGAGGAGGTGTAGGGAGGGTATGGGATGAAGGGGGAGGGGAGACAGGGGGGAAAGGGGGAGGGGTGACAGTCTTAATGGGGTGGGGGGAGGAAGGGAGGGAGGGGAGCATTTGAGTGGGGTCAGGTAGGGTGAAGGGGTAGGGAGGGTTACTATGCAGAGGAGGGTGGTGGTGTTGCCCTCCTCTCTGGTGTTGCTGGGATGCTGGTTGTGGGTTCCCTCCTTGTCTCTGGTAATGTTGTGTTGGGGCTGTGATTTCCTGATTTACTTCTCTCTCCCTGCACTTCTTCCTTGCCTCTGTCACCATGGCTCTCTCATCCTTCGTCCTGTCCCTCTGGAGGAATACTTTTTTGTATTCCTCCACATACTGCAGATGACTCTTCCTTTTTAAAATATCCTCCTTCATGGCCTTGTTTGCAAACACTATCTTTACCAGGCGATCTCTGTCCTTGTTGTACCAGCCCAACCTGAAAATCTTCTCAATGTTTTGTTCAGCCCCTTCCATCTTTAACCCCTTTAGTATTCCATTTACTGCCTCTCTATCCTTGCTATTCCATTCTTGCCTATTGGAGCCTTCCTGTTCACTGATGCCTACAGCTACCACTGATCTTTTTCTTTCCAGCAGCTGGCTGGTGTACCTTGCTGCTTCCTGTGAGGTAGCTGCTTACATGGCTACCTCCCTCACTGGGGCCATTGTTTCTGTGCTCTTTCTCAGTATTTCCACAAATGTTTCAGATACAGAGGCATTTCCTTCCAGTGCTCCATTTCCATCTTCCCTCTGGATGATTATCAGCCAGATATGAGGCCAAATAATGAGGCTCAGCCTCATTATTTTTCTCTGTGGGGGCTATGATCTCCTCCTTTGCTGCGTTCAGCTCACTTAGCAGGTTGTTAATTGTATTCTTCATTTCATGCATCCCCCTTCCTGAATTCCTCCCAAACTTGGGTTAACATTTCCTTCATTTGGTCACTTTGACTTTTCCCTGTGTCCCTGGTGCGTCCTCCTGCCATCTTTGGAGAGAGAGAGAGAGAGAGAGAGAGAGAGAGAGAGAAAAGGTTGGGTGGAGGAGGAGGAGGAGGAGGGTGTGTATAGTCTGTTGTGGTGTGTATAGTCTGTTCTGGTGTGTATAGTCTGTTGTGGTGTGTATAGTCTGTTGTGGTGTGTATAGTCTGTTGTGGTGTGTATAGTCTGTTGTATTGTGTATAGTCTGTTGTGATGTGTATAGTCTGTTGTGGTGTGTATAGTCTGTTGTGGTGTGTATAGTCTGTTGTGGTGTGTAGAGTCTGTTGTGGTGTGTATAGTCTGTTGTGATGTGTATAGTCTGTTGTGGTGTGTATAGTCTGTTGTGGTGTGTATAGTCTGTTGTGGTGTGTATAGTCTGTTGTGGTGTGTATAGTCTGAGGTACACATCTGAGGTACATAGGTACATCTGAGGTATAGTCTGAGGTACATACACTATAAGTACACATCACACTCACTTTAGGGATTTAGTTACAGTTCACTTTAAACAGTGTCTTAATGTTTCTATAGTTTTATTAAATCTAACATAGGTCCACATATATATGTAAAATGGTTGAGTTTTGCACAGCTTGAACGCCCGCGATGTGTCTGGGTGGTGTATGTTGTGACCGCCTGGTAGCAGCGTGCGCCACCAGATGCATCTACCAAAGCGGGTATAACTACCCACTTGGGGTTTAAACATCGATTATTTATTTATGATGGTGCTACATAGCCTCCCTTTCTTGGTGCCTTCTCTTGATTACTACTTCCTTCCTCCCATTTATGGTTCTTCTCATGGTTCACTTAATGGTTCACCACCACCCAACCACTTGGGGTGGGCGGTAGAGCGACGGTCTCGCTTCATGCTGGTCGGCGTTCAATACCGGATCGTTCAAGTGGTTGGGCACCATTCCTTCTCCCCGTCCCATCCCAGATCCTTATCCTGAACTCTTCCAAGTGCTACATAATCGTAAGGGCTTGGCGCATTCTCCTGATAATTCCCTTCCTTTCATGGTTCACTTTATGGTTAATTTCATGGTTCCCATCGTGGTTCACCTTATGGCTAGCCTCAGAGTTTACCTTATGACTAGCCACACGGTTTACTTTATGGTTCACCCTATGGTTCACCTCATGGTTCACCTTATGGTTTACCTCACTTTTCCCCTCATGGGTCACCTCATGGTTTACCTCATGGTTTACCTCATGGCTCATCTCGTGGTTCACCTTACTGTTCGCATCATAGTTTACCTCATGGTTCACCTGACTGTTCACCTAATATCTGTCATAGTCTGGGTAAATCACCTGTTTCACTCATCGAGGTCATCTTAGGACTCCGACTGACCGTTCTCAGGAGTTAACCAACAACATCTGCATAAATCCTGGGGCGTCTATTTACTGTTTGGTGAAGAGAGGCATCAGATGAAAGGATGCGTGCCCAATGTTTCCTGACCGAAGATCAAGTCTGGGAGCTTTCCATCCCCAAGAACAATAAGAACGAATGCATACCCACAAATACACATTCCCATAAATACACAAAACAAGATTAAGTCGAGGATGTAGACCACTGCGATACAGGACCCAGTGTGCTGTTGTCTTTCATCCCATCTATTAGATATATTGTAATACAAAAATAGGATACAAAATCAGATATTATCTGTGTCGACGAATGATACATAAAAATCTGGCCAAAATTTTGTAACTATGTAATTGCTTCGTGAGGCATCAACGTTAAGAATTTTGGTCAGAAAGTCAATACGAAATTTTGTATCACATTATAATTGAGCCATGTTCCGGAATTGTGGAGGATTGTGAATGTTGTCCCATTTTTCAGAAGTGAAATCAATTACTGCAATCTATCGTAAAAAAGTTTTGTTGCAAAACAAAAAGTTACATGAATTGATAATGAACATGGCTCTATAATGATTCCTGAGATGACTTTACTAAAGGACAATCGTGCTTGACTTGTTCTCATTTTTACCGAGCACGTATGAAGAAGCTGACAGTGGAAAAATTGCAACATTAATAACGTAAATTTTTTCCAAAGTTAAAAAACAAACAAAGTAAGTAAACAAAAATCTTTCAAAAAGGATTTTGAAACTTCTGACGAGAGAATGCAGTCACGTGATAATTGAGGGGATCTCTGAGAGTGTATCAGTGCGTGGAGATCACTCTTGAGAGCCTCCGGGCTCTCTCCTGGAACATTTGTTCTCCTTATTCATTAATGATTCATATACAGGAGTTAACACCAACATGAATACATTTATCGTTGACACCTAAACAGGAAAGTAATACACTCAGACGAAGATGTAGAAACATTAAAAAAATTCAACAAACTTTAAAAATTATCTGAAATGTGGACGTTGAAGCTCAGTGATCATAATTGTTGCGCTATGAATCTATAAAATGAAAATAAAAGTTCAACATATCAGGTAAACAATAGTGAAAATTTGGAAAATTATAGAGAATCAACTCGGAACACTAAAATAATAATTGAACAAGGACGACAAAGCATAAATGTTAAAATTTATGCCAATCTGTAATTGGAGTAATTTTAAGAGTCCTTATTAGTAAACAAGTTCCATCAACTTTGATCTTACTGATAAAAGACTCCAGTAAGATTATGCAGTACAGTTTTCGGCACGGTTCTATAGAATGGATGTAATATATCTTGGGAACGAATAAGGAGGATAATTATGAATCACGGGCATTAGAGATCTTTCTTAAGACCAAGAAAGCTCACTTTACCTAGAGAGGCGCAGAATGAGGGACATGATGAAGGAGACAAACAGTGACGATATACAAAGGATTTTTAAAACAAAAATGTCAAGCAAAAGCTGAAAAGTACAGGAGTGTGTGTGGTTGGTTAGACTGGGGTCCAGGGGTGTGTGTGGTTGGTTAGACTGGGGTCCAGTAGTGTGTGTGGTTGGTTGGACTGGGGTCCAGGAGTGTATGTGGTTGGTTAGACTGGGGTCCAGTAGTGTGTGTGGTTGGCTGGACTGGGGTCCAGGAGTGTATGTGGTTGGTTAGACTGGGGTCCAGGAGTGTGTGTGGTTGGTTGGACTGGGGTCCAGGAGTGTATGAGGTTGGTTGGACTGGGGTCCAGGAGTGTATGAGGTTGGTTGGACTGGGGTCCAGGAGTGTGTGTGGTTGGTTGGACTGGGGTCCAGGAGTGTATGAGGTTGGTTGGACTGGGGTCCAGGAGTGTGTGTGGTTGGTTGGACTGGGGTCCAGGAGTGTGTGTGGTTGGTTGGACTGGGGTCCAGGAGTGAGTGTGGATGATCATACACCAACAGTCTCTCCTGGACCAAAGCATATTCAAATTCATGTATTTTTATATTCTCGTGACCCAGTGGATGTATGCATCATTATCTGGCTAGTAACTGAATGGGTGATCACTGGCTTCCTCTCTCCAACTTAGAGCATTCATTTCAATGTTCTGTATTGCCCCTCTGGCAAGTTGATTATTATTTCCATCCTTTCTATTAATTAGGGCGCATCATATTGTGAAATACTTCCATAACAACGTCGTGTAATCATTATACTTTAAACTTTAGTGAGCGGTAATTGCTTTACTGCTGCCTGCAGGGTACCAACGGGAGCTGCTCTACCGCAGACACGACGGCTCCTTCAGCGCCTTCGGCAAATCTGACGACTCTGGCTCCACCTGGCTGACGGCCTTCGTCCTCAAGTCTTTCGGCAAGGCCCAACAGTTTATTCCGGTGAGTAAATATACCGGTGATGGGTATTAAGATTATCCACCGGGTTTAGATGCTGCCTCATTTCAAAGTAAGAATATTATCAGAAGAAAGTCCTGATTAAAAGTATGCAGCATATCACGGAAAATGGTGACATATTGGCACGGCCACATATGTCAGACAAGTGAAGCAACTCTCGACCGTAAGATATTTCTGAGAGTTTTGGGAGAGTGCCGGATTACAGTTAAAAGATAAAAGATAACTTTTTATTCTGTATCAAGATTATCTACTGGAAACCGCAACACACTCGTACAGCATATGTTCAACGCTGTGTGTCTTATGCTCATTACCTTGCACCTGCTCGAGCTCTGTCTTTCCTGCTAATGCGGCTACATGTCTGCTGAAGTATCTTTCCCTCCTCATAAATCTGCAGTGGTTTAACCAATACCAATGAATGGTGATCACACTTGTCCCTTATCCTGTTGCCCTTACATCTTCTTAAAGAAAGCTTCTTAAGAGAGCAGAATGTTGCAATCACCAGTACAGATTCACCAAGACTTGATTTACCCGTGATTTTTTGTCTCGCTCGTTTGGTCAACCTATGTTAGCGATTCAGGTAAGTTTATTGCCTTAACTAATCTTAAATTGACTTCCCATGGGACAACACTAGTCGCCATATTCTCATTCCATAATTATCTTTCTCGGTGAACAAATGTTTAGCTTACTCTTTGATAAATTGTTCTCAACAGCTGTAGATGTGTTAATGCTGCATTACAAGTCGTGTACTGGAAACAAGGTGGTAGAAACAGAGAGTGTGTTAGGTAAGAAAGTAAGGGAAGGGGAACTATCAGGAGAAAACGCCATGCCGTTACTTCAATATAGCACTGGGAAGGAGTCACGAAAAGGATTTGGGGAGGAATGGGGGGAATGATAGATGAGATGATAGATAAGAATTAAGAGAATAAGATAAAATAAAGAAAATGTGAAAGGAGAAGAAATAGGAAGGAGAATGAAAAATGGCATAACTATAAGTAAAAAATTTAAATATAGGAGTAATGAAAAAAATTAATATGCAATAGAAACAACTGCAGGAGGCAAAAAGACGAAAAGATAAAGAGCTAGGAACATTGGAGAAAAGATGGGAAGAGAGCCTAGAAGGGATAAAACCAAGTCAGATCACGTTTATTAAGAAGGTTGGAGCATTTAAGTATGTAGGTAAGTGAAAGTCCACAGAAACAAAGCCAAGACTAAGGTTCACGTTGAGCATGTTGTGTATCAGAGGTGATTTAACAAGATGGCGTCTGTGAAGAGTAGAGGCGGGAAACACTATTTTTGAAGATAACTAGTCTATATTGGCCCATACGAGGCATCTCCTATCTAAACACAAAGATTAATCCAGTGTAATTGGCCTGTTATGTTGGACATTGTCTTCTGTGTTGGCATCGATATGTTCTTGTCTTGTCCTTACTACAAGTAAGGACATACAAGTAAGAAATACAAGTAAGAAATAGTAAGGACAAGACAAGAACATATCGATGCCAACACAGAAGACAATGTCCAACATAACAGGCCAATTACACTGGATTAATCTTTGTGTTTAGATAGGAGATGCCTCGTATGGGCCAATAAGCCTTCTGCAGCCCCTATGTTTATCCCTTATGTATCCCCCCATGTTTTCACCTTCATTGTATTATCACCTGACCTAATGCGGGTATAAAATCAACTCGTATTGTAAGATCTGTTCACTTGAGAATGAACCATGGAGGTTCGAAACGTCGTGCAAATTATACAAATAAGTGTAAATACACTCTATAGTAAATCACTTCTTTTCTTCACCTTAAAAGTACGAAAATGAGTTTTGGAGAACTCCTATTTCAATTAAGCCCTGATGCTAAGAAAATAGTTAGAGGGATAGAAGCCCTAAACCAGAAAATAATAAATACAGAATATGCGGTCATATTCAATGAAACATGTTTGAAAGAAAACCTGCTGCCAGTATACACCAATATATATATATATATATATATATATATATATATATATATATATATATATATATATATATATATATATATATATATATATATATATATATTATATATATATATATATTATATATATATATATTATTAATATATATATTATTAAATATGACCGAAAAAGTAAGATTAATAATTCTAACACGAATTTTCTCAATCTTTCGTACATTTCGTTTCACTGTTAGAGGTAAATAAAAAATCAATTCTCCAAAATTCATTTTTATTTCTAGTCTGACGCGACACGAGCGCGTTTCGTAAAACTTATTACATTTTCAAAGACTTTAGTTCACAAATACACAACTGAATAGAACTTACGCATCTCCGATATTATATCTACATTTGAGTGAGGTGGAAGGGGTGATGTGGCATTAACACAAGACAGAACAAGATGTGGTATTAATAGGGTATTAATTTCATCAACACAAGACAGAACAAGAGTATTAATAGGGTATTAATTTCATCAACACAAGACAGAACACGAAACAATGGATATTGAATAGAAGTGTTTGTAGAAAGCCTATTGGTCCATATTTCTTGATGCTTCTATATTGGAGCGGAGTCTTGAGGTGGGTAGAATATAGTTGTGCAATAATTGGCTGTTGATTGCTGGTGTTGACTTCTTGATGTGTAGTGCCTCGCAAACGTCAAGCCGCCTGCTATCGCTGTATCTATCGATGATTTCTGTGTTGTTTACTAGGATTTCTCTGGCGATGGTTTGGTTGTGGGAAGAGATTATATGTTCCTTAATGGAGCCCTGTTGCTTATGCATCGTTAAACGCCTAGAAAGAGATGTTGTTGTCTTGCCTATATACTGGGTTTTTTGGAGCTTACAGTCCCCAAGAGGGCATATGAAGGCATAGACGACGTTAGTCTCTTTTAAAGCGTTCTGTTTTGTGTCTGGAGAGTTTCTCATGAGTAGGCTGGCCGTTTTTCTGGTTTTATAGTAAATCGTCAGTTGTATCCTCTGATTTTTGTCTGTAGGGATAACGTTTCTATTAACAATATCTTTCAGGACCCTTTCCTCCGTTTTATGAGCTGTGGAAAAGAAGTTCCTGTAAAATTGTCTAATAGGGGGTATAGGTGTTGTGTTAGTTGTCTCTTCACAGGTTGCATGGCTTTTCACTTTCCTTCTTATGATGTCTTCGACGAAACCATTGGAGAAGCCGTTATTGACTAGAACCTGCCTTACCCTACAGAGTTCTTCGTCGACTTGCTTCCATTCTGAGCTGTGGCTGAGAGCACGGTCGACATATGCGTTAACAACACTCCTCTTGTACCTGTCTGGGCAGTCGCTGTTGGCATTTAGGCACATTCCTATGTTTGTTTCCTTAGTGTAGACTGCAGTGTGGAAACCTCCGCCCTTTTCCATGACTGTTACATCTAGAAAGGGCAGCTTCCCATCCTTTTCCATCTCGTAAGTGAAACGCAGCACGGAACTCTGCTCAAATGCCTCCTTCAGCTCCTGCAGATGTCTGACATCAGGTACCTGTGTAAAAATGTCGTCAACATACCTGCAGTATATGGCCGGTTTCAAGTTCATGTCGACTAAGACTTTTTGCTCGATGGTACCCATGTAGAAGTTTGCAAACAGGACACCTAGGGGAGAACCCATGGCGACCCCATCTACTTGCTTATACATGTGCCCATCCGGGCTCAAGAAGGGTGCCTCTTTAGTACAAGCTTGGAGTAGTTTCCTCAGAATATTTTCTGGTATGTCAAGAGGAGTACAGGCTGGATCACGATACACTCTGTCGGCTATCATTCCGATTGTCTCGTCCACAGGTACGTTGGTAAACAGCGATTCTACGTCCAACGAGGCTCTTATCCCTGTGGCCCGTGTGCCCCGCAGTAAGTCAACAAATTCCTTTGGAGACTTCAGGCTGAAGGCGCAAGGAACATAAGGAGTCAGCAGGCCGTTGAGTCGCTTCGCCAGTCTGTACGTGGGTGTGGGTATCTGGCTAATGATTGGCCGAAGTGGGTTTCCAGGCTTGTGTGTCTTGACATTTCCATACGCATATCCAGGTTTATATTCCCCAATGATCTTTGGCAGGTGGAGTCCGGATTTCTTGGCGTTCACAGTTTCGATCAGTTTGTTGACCTTTGCTTTTAATTCGGCTGCAGTGTCCTTCGTTACCCTTTGGAACTTAGTTTGGTCAGAGAGTATGATGTTCATTTTCGCCAGATATTCGTCTTTTTTAAGAATGACATATATTGGCGACTTGTCACCTCTCCTGACAACTATCTCCTTGATCTCGCGAAGGCTTTTAGCTGCCGCTTTAAGCTCGGGGGACAGTATGGTGCTTCTGTAGTTGCCTCGATTCTTTCCTCCTTCTGCAATAAGTTCTGCTTGTAAGGTATCTTTGGTAGTGACCTTCTTTTGAGTCTCGAGGTCGAATATGTCGTCCAACAGAATTTCCAACTCTACTTTCCGGGCCATCTCACTCGGTCTGGACATAACATGACAGTTTATGCCCAGATTTAGGAGAGTGACTTGGTCCTCAGTGAGGTTAATTCCTGCAAGGTTCAGGAAGCCATCTCTTGGTCGTGGAATTGCCATAGGTCCTCCATATAATGTTGTTAGTTTCTTGATAATCCTTGTTTCAGTGCTGAGGTGATGTTGGTCTGTGAGGATGTCGAGGTGTTGTTCAATGTGGGTACGGATACTATCGTCGATGTTGCTATTTCTCCACTCGTTTGTAGCATGAAGTAGTTGCGTTTTTTTGTCTTTGATTTCATTCTCTGCCTTGTATATCTGAACACGTTATTCTATTCAGTTCTATTCAGTTGTGTATTTGTGAACTAAAGTCTTTGAAAATGTAATAAGTTTTACGAAACGCGCTCGTGTCGCGTCAGACTAGAAATAAAAATGAATTTTGGAGAATTGATTTTTGATTTACCTCCAACAGTGAAACGAAATGTACGAAAGATTGAGAAAATTCGTGTTAGAATTATTAATCTTACTTTTTCGGTCATATTTAATAATAT